GTAAATAATTAAAATGCATTCTATCTTGAGCACCCTGAATCCAGTTGTGCTGAATGCGCTTGATGTCATCTGACCACCTTGTTGGAGGACGTCCTCGATTACGATAAGCATCGTGTCTAGGTCTTTATTCCAGAATTTGCTTCGTCCACCTTCCATCTTTTAATCTGACAACATGCCCCGCCCAGTTCCATTTCAATGTTGTAATCCTTTGAATTGCGTCAGTTACACCAGTTTTTCTCTTAATTATTGTATTTGATACTCTGTCTCTGAGGGATATATTCAGCATTGACCTCTCCATCACTCTCTGTGCCACTTGTATTTTATTGATTACTTTTCTGGTAAGGGTCAATGTTTCTGCTTCATACGTTAAAACTGGAAGTACACATGGATCAAAGACCTTCTTTTTCAAGCACATGGGAATATCTAATCTAAGGACTTCTCTCAATTTTCCGTAAGCCGCCCATGCTAGTCCTATTCTCCTGTTTAGCTCCGTTGTTTGTTTTTTTTTAACCTATTCTCTCTCCTTCCATTGTTGGATATAGGTTTCCCCCAGTTCTCTCCATCTTTCCCTATCTTGAGCTGTTCTCTGCCATGTGGGACCTCCTTGTTTCCTGATGTCATCTTTCCACCTCATCTGTGGTCTGCCTCTTGATCTCTTTGCATTATATTGACGCCACTTTCCGATGGCATTGTTCCATCGTCCGTCTTGAAGAGGTTCATTGTGTCCAGCCCATTTCCATTTCAGTTTTGCTGCTTGTTCTATCGCGTCTACTGTCTTTGTTCTGGTTCTGATCCACTGGTTACGTTTTCTATCTTTAAGTGATATACCAAACATTTGTCTCTCCATGGCTCTTTGTGCCTTCCTTATCCTATCCAAATTGGCCTGTGTAAATGTCCATGTCTGAGCACCGGTATTATACAGGAGTTATATACCTTGCTTCGTAAGTATAGAGGGATTGTTTGATTTTTTAGAACGTAAGAAAGTTTGCCGAACGCTGCCCATCCCATTCTTACTCGTCTCGATATTTCGGCTGTTTGATTTTCTCTGTTAGCTCTGATTGCTTGTCCTAGATAGATATACTCATTTACCTGTTCTATTTTTTCTGTTTGTATTTTTATTGCCTCTTGGTCTTCTGTGTTTGTCATTACTTTTGTTTTGTTGAAGTTAATTTTTAGGCCTTTTTGCAGTGATTTTTCATGAAGTTCATTTAGCATTAATTCCAGTTCTTGTCGTTCCGAGGAGATCAGGAGTATATCATCCGCATATCTAAGGTGATTTAGGTATTTTCCGTTAATACATATTCCTCTATTTTCCCAATCTGTTGATTTTATTATGTCTTCGAGGGTCAAGGTAAACAGTTTAGGTGAAATTATATCGCCTTGTCGGACTCCTCGTTTATCTTTTATATTATCCGTTATTAATTTGTCGTCCAGAATTACGGTCATGGTTGCGTTTTGGTAAATATCATGTATCAATTGTCGGTATCTTGAATCTATTCTACTATTGACCAAAGCTTCTTCAACCGCCCAGTGTTCAATGCTGTCGAAAGCCTTTTCATAATCTACGAATAATAAGTACAGCGGAAGGTTGTATTCATTGGTTTTCTCAATTAAGATTTTAAGCGCATGTAGATGGTCGATTGTGCTGTATCCTTTCCTGAATCCGGCCTGTTCCACTGGTTGGTAGTTATCAAGTTTATAGGTTAGTCGGTTGTTTATTATTCTTGTGAAGGTTTTATATAGTTGTAACAAAAGGGAAATAATACGGTAGTTGTTTAAGTCTGTTTGGTCTCCTTTTTTATGTATTAAGATTGTGTTGGCATTTCTCCATTGTTTAGGTATTTTACCTTTAACCTTTGATTGTTGATTGTTGTTTGATTATCTTTTCTTAATTTAATCTCGTGGCCTAGATAGTTATACCTATACACCTGTTCAATTTGCGTGCCGTTAGTTGAGATGTTTTTCGCCAGTACAAGGTTGGACATATATTGTGTTTTGGAGAAATTAATTTTTTTAAAAGTCCAACTCATGTACACAAGCTCTAAAGGTCTTGAAGAAGCTGGCAGGCATGATCTACACGGTCCGCAATAAGGACTATGCCGTCTGCAAATCTCAAGTTGTTCAGAAATTCTCCATTTATATTGACTCCAATATTCTCCCAACTATTGTTTCTCATAGCACTCTGCAACAAAGCGGTGAATAGCTTAGGAGAGATGGTATCTCCTTGCCTAATACCCCTCCCGAAGGAAAATGTATTTGTGTTGCCATAATACATTCTAACTGCAGCTGTTACGCTCTTATATATATTCTGAAGAAGAGTTGTGTACCTATGATCAATACTACACTCTGTAAGAGCTCTTAACATGTAGCTATGCTGGACTGAGTCAAACGCTTTCTCAAAGTCTACAAATATTAATATCAATGGCTTGTTGTATTCTATAACCTTCTCTATTAAGGATTTTATTACTTGTAGGTGGTCATTCGTTCCAAAGCCACTCCTAAATATAATTAATAATATAATTATATATCGTCGTTAGGAATGAAATATCTCCAATGTAAAAATATCCTAATTTTACAGGAGACACAAAAAATAGTTAAATAACGCTATTTTATATTGTATTAAATTAGTAATTGATTTTTTTGGCCAAACTAAGATTGATATTGATATTAAGGTGAAATTGATTCCTTAAATCAGTACAAAACATTAAACTAATAAAAAAAAATTACAAACGCGCACATTGGAGAAATTATAAATGATTAAACCGGTACATAGCAGGAATTTCTAGTATTGTGTATGGCATGTCATAGTACTATACATCTTGAATTTGGTGTTATTAGGGGAAAAAGAGTCATATAAACAGTAAAGTGATTTGTATTATCTTTATTTTAAATAAACAAACTTCGACATGTAGTAACAATGTATGATATTTTTACGAACACCACCGAAAGTATTTTTTTTGTTGATTTTAGGAAGAGTATCGTAAAAGTGATGATGATCTTTTTCAATAACTGATTTGAGATCTTGCAGATGTTTGAACTTGTCTTCTGATTTTCAGGAGGTGTCTTGAAGAGCGAGTTTCCATAAACCGACAGGTCTTGGCTTTCTCTTCGGTGTGGTAGTAGCTTCCAGTTATCTGAGTAATCAGTGGTGTAGTATACCTCTCCATTGGGACTATATTTTAATTGTCTTATATCTACAACTTGCGGTTCTTTGGCATTTTTTTCCAGGTCTTATTGAACGAAAGTTACTATCAATAGCGTACTTTTTAAAGAACGTACAATCTACGTTTTTAATATTATACGGATGTTTTGGCCGAGCAAGACGCATTCTAGCAATGTAATCTATCGGTGAATTAATTAGAGTCTGAAAGTAATGTTCCAAAGTGAATTGAATCTGCTTCCATCATAGTGTTGCCTTTTTTAAGATATAACTGCTGTATTGTAAGGGATTTTACTCTTGCTGAATCACTTAAAGCACTAGCCAGAGTTCTTTTTCGATTTTGGTAGTTGCATCCATCTGAGATGAATACAAGTTAGCAGGAATATTATTTATATAATCTATAAGACAAGAGTAAATTCATTGCTACTTACTCCACCATTTGCTTCATGCCAAACGTACAACTGGACATCTTCATCATTTAGAGAATAAATGGTGAAGTTGTGTACTTGGAGTTTGAGCTTATAATACGATTGAAAAGCTAATACTTTTGGACACGTTAAGAAACTTTGAATATCAACTGTGAGAACCAATTTTTCAGAATTTGCGCTACTTTTTAATAACTCTTTTGCCCGTCTTTCTTCTTTCTGCTTTGACATGTGCTGATCATAATCTTCAGTACTTATTGTCTTCATTTTATGTGCAACACACGTATCACATTGATCTTTCCTTTGCTTATTATGTATGCCAATGTTCTCTGCTTCTAAAACAACTTTAAACAACTTGATATGAGCAACTGACTGCTTTCTATCATCGCACCATTCTTTATATAGTCTGTACATCTTATTTGTTGTTATGATACTGTTGTCAACGTATATTCTGCTAGTAGGTGCTCTACAATAGTGTGAAGGAACTTTAGGAGTATCTTGCAACCATTCCATAACATTCTTTTCTTTGCAAATTTGTCTCATTTTTCTTGGAGTAATCTTGTTGAATGTTGGAATCTTGCAGACGTTCACTAGAAGTATCAATTTCATGAGTGGCTGGATTCCTTGAGACCCATCGTTTCATTGTATCTTCTCCTAAATTTAGTGTGTTCAAAAACATAATTCGGCATGCCTTGAGGTAACTTCCGTCGTTAGAAACAAAAAAGTCACGAGCACTCTTCTTTTTGGACCGTTTGTCTGAATTTTGAGTATCTTTTCGGCGCCTTTGCACTGCTCTTGCCCGAACAAGATTTTTAACATAAGTGCTTCTATGTTCCCACGACGTAAATGTCCAAAATTTTTTAAAAATTCGTAGTCTATCGTCCTGCGTAATTAAAGAACATCTAAATGAGTGTTCTTTAAAACATTTTGGCGATATAATATGGTTACATCGCTCCTTAACTGACATGCCATTCCGTCTGAAGGAAACGTTCAGAAGATCGTTTCCTCAAAAGATTATTTTGAAAATTCTGGGAAATATAGGAGAAAGCGGGCCACCTTGAAACGCGTGCACCATGAGACAGTCAGTCAGTCGTAGAAAATCTTTATAATATAATAAAATAGTCCACCAAATTTAATTGAAATCGATTTAATATATTTCGCATACAAATTTTGCAATCTAAATTAAAAACAATAAATTCTTTAAAATCTTGCACAACTAAACTAAACCATATAGAAGTTTGAAAAATGTTTTAACTATAAAAAAACAATCCATCTGTTCGAGGTACTTTGAAATCCGATTATTTTGGTGTCCTCAGGAATTTTTTAAAACTTTTTTTGTAACAATTTTTTGGCTTATACATGTAATTTTAATAATATCAAAAATTTTTCTTAACATTCTTCATAATTTTTTTTAGGCCGTCATCCTTTGATTTAGCAAGCTCAACATTAGCTCAAATAGCAGGATATGCCGCATCCACGGGGCAAATTCTTAACATAGGAGACGTCAGATCGTGGCTTAAGGAACAACATAGCGAAGGAGATGCTGAGACTGCCAAAACTATACTCTGTATGCCCATTATAAATGGAAAGAGGACACTAATAGGTAAGTTTTACCCCATGTCTGCTGATTTTCCTACTAGCAATTGACTCATTTCTAAAAATAATACGTTCATCGTGCTTTGGAGGGTACTTAAAACCGTCGATCCCCATAGGCTAGTGTGCATCAATATACTTGAAACAGTGTTAAAGATGCAATTGGCGCCGGAACAATCCGAAAGAATCTTCTCGGCAAAAATGCCATATGATATTGTCCAGATTTAGCTATACGGCTCATACTCCATCCAAGGGAAAAATTTACTCATCCCAGATACCTACGGTATCAAATGGATTGAGCTCTGTTAGGACTCTTTCCGTGTCATCGAACCTTAGGTGACTTTTTATGCCGAAGTATCTCCTTAAAATTTTCGTACACATCTGGACGTCGCGAGGAGTACAGCTTTCTGCACGGCCTTATAGATATGTTGATTTAGATCCAGTTGTTATATGTTCGAGGTTTCTGAGAATAAAATAAGTAGATAGAATAATAAATACTGTCTAGGTACTTTCCATTCTCCATTGTCTAATAATTTGTATTTCTAGATCTTTGTACTTGGTGATCTTTTCGTTGTATTTAACACGTAAATTATTGGTGTTATGTATCGCCACATCAAAAAGTGTTGCCTATTTATTAACTAGCATGAGATCCGGTATATTATGTGCCACTGGTTGGTCTCTGAACACAGTGCGGTCCTAGTATAGCCTGTAAAGGACGTATTGATAAATAAGGAAGATAGTCACTTTGGAGAAGTCTTAATTTGTCAGCTAGTTCTTGGTGGATAATTATTTCTACTGAGTCATAGCGTTCTTTATTATAGTTTCGACAAATGTATGGCAGCCCCGGTAAGATGTTGAATGGTTTCTTGGGCTTAGCATCTATATCGGCATTTATCATTTTGGATTTAAGGAAATTTAACAATATATTTTAGGTAATTTTTAGTGGGAATAACCTGATCCTAAATGGAAAGTAGAAAACCCTCAGTTTTGGGAAACATTTTTGCTGATAACAACGAATAGTTCAAGGCATGTATGTGTGCGAATATATTGTCGACATATTCTTGGCTGATCTCATTGAGATGTTGCTCATGCAGAGGTTTACTCATCCAGGTGCGCATTTTTTTCTTGCTCAGTCAGGTGGTTTATGCGCATTTCTTGTTCCCCCAGTTTAAACGGCGTTGTATCATCTACTGCGAAAATTGCTTGATGTAAGGTAGATGTCTCAGCCTGCACCTAAAAATAAGTTTTTAAATTAGCAACCTGTTTATCCAGTTGCTAACCTATGTCCACAAGGCCTCTTCCGTTGTTCCCTCTACTCCACTGCGTGGATGGTGTCTTTGAGCATTTATAAGAGGTATTCTTGCTTTCCGCTGAAGACTCTCTATATCCGTTTTTGGCCACTTTATAATAACAATACCAAATGAGTAGGTCAGAGCGAAACAGGCGTATGTAATGCCTTAAGCAAATTTTTACTATTAAGATAATGACCGATTTAGTTATCTTACTCTTCGTATGAACTAGGATATATGATACTATTATTATTATAATACTAGTAATATGACTTCAGTATATACTGACTCAAATACCAACCTGTCTTACGCGCTCTGATACAAATCATAGAATGAGCAATAAAACCTTATATTTTATGATCATAACTCATTATTTTAGTTCAGTAAAATATACAGGTTGGTCTATTTGAAATACAAAATTATTTGGTTTATTAGTTAAAGTATATCTGTATAATTTAGCTGTAGGTTAGTGGGAGCAGATGTTAACTTTATTCATTTTCTGTAAATTTTAACATTTATAATAAGATTGCTCTTTTTTTTAGGTGTGGCCCAGCTGATTAACAAGGAAAATAACGCCCCCTTCACGGAATGCGACGTTTCGTTATTCGAGGCATTCGCCATCTTTTGTGGTCTTGGGATTCACAATACGCAAATGTACGAAAGCGCTTGTAAACTGATGGCTAAACAGAAAGTCGCTCTGGAGTGTCTATCATATCACGCTACGGCCAACGACGAGTCAACGGAGAAGTTAGTCAACGAACAAATCCCGTCGGCTGATTGTTTTAATCTGTACAGTTTTACTTTTATCGATTTCGACCTTTCTGACGAAGATACTTGCAAGGCTACGTTGAGAATGTTTATGGAATGTAATTTGGTGCAACAATTCCATATACCTTATGAGGTAAGTATGATGTAGGTCCATTTTTATGTTTCCTTTCAAAAAATATTTTTAGTAAAGTCGTTTCATAGAAGAACAAGGCGTTATATAACACCAAAATGAATTAAACTTCTTGACAAAAAAATAAAAAATGTATGATTTCTAATCTACAATTATTAATGACACGTACATATCCTATACAATACACAGTACATAAATATATAACACTTAAACACGTAATACATAAACACATTATACATAAACACGAAAACAATCAATTTGGGCAATTATGGGCCAATACGAAGTCTGGCTAATAAATAACGAGAATGCGCGCGCGGAAGACGTCCTAGAGGGGAAGAGTGGGAAACTAATGCAGCATTGGATAGCTGGAATTGGATACTCTTCCAGTACGAAAACACATTTTTGTCGCTGTAGTAGTATTTTTTTTGTAGAGGTTAGAAAAGAACTCGACCCGATAACAATGTGTGACGAAAAACATGAGCAACGGATTAATGTGAAATTATCTCGTTAAATTAAAAAAAAAACTCTCACTGAGTGCTATAACTTGTTTAAAGAGGCCTATGGTGAGAATTCTCACGTGCGCGTGTGTTCGAATGGTATAAACGGTTTTCTGAAGGCCGAGAGAACGCTGAAGATGACCAACGTCCAGGTCGACCTGTCTCTGTTTCAGCTGCGCAAACAGTGACCAAAATAAATGAAATTGTGCGGGGAGATCGTCGTATGAGCATTTGGATGATTGCTGAGAGTTGTGGAAAGACAAGTCGTGGATCTTGTACCAGGAAACGCACCTGCTCATAACGCGCTGTCTATGAAGCGTTATTTAGCAGCTAGAGACATTCCAGTGCTCGAACACCCACCGTACTCGCCTAATTTAGCACCCTGTGAAATTTTCCTGTTTCCGAAGATCAAGTCGGCCTTAAAAGGAATCCGGTTCGAGTCGATGGAAGAGGTGAAGTGAAAAACGGCGAAGCTCCTAAATGCTCCAACAAAAGAAGACTTCCAGCATTGCTTTGAACAATGGAACGGTGTGTGGAGAGGTAAGGGGAATATATTGAAGGAGAGCATTCGATTTTAGAATAATTTTTAATTATTCTAAACTCTTTTTCATAAGAAATCTCGTTATTTAATAGCCACACCTCGTATAATAGACATCACTATACTAAAAACGAAAATTGGGACTGAGAAAATTCTGATTTCGAGAATTCCGATGATACCAACGGATATGCTATTAGAATTTAAATAAATTTAATATTCGATTCGTTTTGCATTCCCCGTGACGATAAACAAATCACTAGGACAATCCTTGAATGTTAGTGGGCTGAATATAGTAAATAGCTGTTTTTCTTTAAGAATTAAGAATTAAAAATTAAGAAAAACAGCTATTTACTATATTCAGCCCACTAACACTCAAGGATGAAACAATTAAAGAAAATTTCTTATGGGTAATTTTGCGTAGCATGTTCAGTGTAGGCAAACTACCCGCTTTGTTTATTCCTAAAGATGGCAATAAAACGAAAACTATAGTATATTACAAGTTCGTTTAATGAATGCACAAATGGTTGCTTTGCTTCCACTTGAATTAGTTCTTTTCAACTCTTAATATATCTCTGCTGTTTCTTATTCTAATCCTAAATATAATCATTTAAAATATACTTACCATTTTAGGTTTTATGTAGGTGGACTTTAAGTGTAAAGAAAAACTACAGACCAGTGAAATATCACAATTGGAGGCATGCCCTCAACGTAGCTCAAACAATGTTTGCGATGTTCAAGACAGGAAAAATGGAAAGGTGAGTGAACTAAATGTTTAAAGTACCAACAAGGTTATTACTAATTTATTTTACTTGTTAGTGAAATACAGTACTAAAGTAAAAGCCACAATTAGAATGTAGTGTAGGTAAGGTAGGCAATGTATTTCTTAGGCATTAGGACTGGATTTAAGAATCATAACATTGAAATATACGCGCACACAACAATCACCTACGGTTGTATACAAGACTAGGATTATTGTTTCAACGAAAGCATGATTCAATCATCGATGTATAAATAAGAGATTTACATTGTCGAACCACACAATAACATGAAGAAAAATGCTATAAAAAAAGTAAAATATATCAAAAACTTATGGTCGATAGCTTATCTATATTTACCAATTTTCAATAGCTTTCATTGTAAACACATTCTTTGGTAAATAAATATTATAAAGTCATAAGGAGAAGCAAATCAGTTTAATCCCCATTGTCCACGTAAAGCAAGCACGTCTCTTCTCTTTGTTGATTTGGGTACTGGTCATTAGACCAAAAACTATGAAAGATCAATTTTATTTATAATATAATTTTATTTCATTTTCGCAAGCGGATAAAAGTACATATAAGCATTTTTCATATAAAAAAGCTTGCACGTCATTCAAGATTTACGTCGTCTGAACCCCACAGCGTTGCCAAAACATCAAAATAGTTAGTAGGTAAGGAATTTCTAAAATGTCAACTATTTGTCAAACTATTATATTAACAGTAAATACACTTAGTTTTAAGACTACTGCAACACATTAAAATATATAAGAAAACATTTTAATACAAAATTATATATTCTAAATTTTAAACTTACCTCTTTTAGGGCTTTAATAACAAAAACGTCCCGCCATTATTTCTTGTTCAAAATAATCTATCTTATATGAAAGCTTAGCAGCTTTCTACAGGCTTTTATTTGTTTTGGCATATCACAATACACAACAATAATTAGTTTTTAAAACTATTAATCTAAATTTAAAATCGATTTATACATGCAATTTATTAATATATATTATTATGATCAAATTGTGAAGGAATCAAAACATAAACAAAATTTATACTCTAAAAAAGAGGCAACACTTTATACACTTTTGCCACCCGCTGAACTGTCAATAATATTTGATATATTTCCGTATCAGTTGCGTACAATTGTCTAATATATTTAATTAAAATTATTATTTTGTGGAATATTAGACTTCAAGAGTTATTTCATAAAATTTATATTATTAAGAATAATAAATGTTTTTGGTTATTTAATCAATATAATTCTAAAATTTCCAATATAATGATGATTATATTTTTCTGATTATTACACCATGTTGACGCCTATGAAAGATCGAGCAGTTCTGTATGGGTTTCGTATTATTAGCTGTGTTAGGAATATTTGAACTATAAGGTTGATGTTCTGGAAATTTTAAATACAAGTGACGTCACTTTGTATAAATCGTGACGTGAAGGTGTTTTACTTTGAAAAATGGTATACATAATGGAGCTGTTGCCAGTATCTGTGGTGAATTTCAAACGGAGTATGACTCTTGGTGTGCAAGTAAAACTTGTGGTGTTAAATGTATTCAACTATCATCTGAACTTAAAAAATGGTGACAGCTTGACTATTACTGTTGAAAAAGTTTCGAAAATGTGCGGTGTGAGGGTTCGCAAAACTTATGACATCCGCGAAGAGGCCCAGCAAAGCGAACTGAAACCGGTACAAAAAAGGAAGAAAAACAGTTCCCAGTCTAATTCACATAAGAATACTTACGATGAGAAGGTGAAATCTCGAACAAGGAAAATTGTCCATGATTTTTTTTTGGAAAACATACCACTAACCGTCGAAAGCATAATGAACAGAGTGAAGGATGATGAGAACCTACTAGGTTTTTCAAAAAACCACATTTCTTAAGCTATTAAATAACATGGGTTTTGAATATGGTAAAAAAGGTCAAGATTCGATAATGATAGAAAGAATAGATATCATATCCTGGAGACACAGGTACCTCAAACAAATAAAAACATTGAGGAAGAATGTGTTTATACCGGTGAGTCTTGGACCAACGTCGGTGATTCAGTCAAAAAGGAATTGAGGGACACAACATTTAAGAATCCAGGAGATGTCTTCATAAAAGGCATTCATCTCTACTGGACTGAAAGCTCCAACCCAAAGAGGCCCTCGGTTTGTTTTTCTTCATTCTGGAAGCTAATTCTGGTTTCTGACATGGACTGAATTAATTATTTTGGCCAAGAAATGAACTGCTAATTACTACGACGAAATGGACGGGGGTCTATATGAACGATGGTTTGGGAAGACGGTAATTCCAACCTTGCCTCAAATTTGATTTCCCGGAAAAATTGTGGAACAGAAAGCAAATCAAGGATTAGTGAATTACTGGATATTGCAGCCGCATTTAGACCAACTACGATAAGTACAAAATTGAAACAATTGCGGAAAAATATAGCGTTAAGATTTTGAGACTGCCGCCTTACCATTGCGAGCTGAACCTGATTGAGATTGTGTGGTCAAGTGAAAAGCTATGTGGTTTCAAACAACGTCGATTTTAAAGAAAAAACGGTAGAACGGTTGATAAAAGAAGCTTACCAACCCGTATCTAAAGAACAGTGGCATAATTATGTAAACCACGTCAAGAAAATAGAAGAAAAAATGTTTGCGGTGTACAATTTGCAGGTAGATATTGAACCGGTGATAATTATTATAGAAGATGATTCAGAGAATAAGGACGATTTAGATATGGATTGTGATTAGTATCAATTAACGAGAAATATCTCAGATTGAATGCTCATTTGTTTTTTTAGTACTGTACGTACAGTAACTGTGGCTTCTACTATAGATCGTCCATCGTCTTTCAATATGATTTAAGTACAGCATATCGTATTTGTCTATTTTATACTTAGAACAAATCTTCTTCTTTCATTCGTAGAATGCTTCTAATTTTATTATTTTAAGTCTTATAGTAGTCTAAAAAATGGTTAGTTTATGAAAACTTGGGATAAACAAATTAAAAGTATTCAGTGAATCTTTTTAAAATTTTTCACATATTGTCCACTATAAAAGCCTCCTGTTGACGTAAAATTTAAAATTGTAAAATCATTTTTGCAAAAGTTGTTAACAAATTATTTTCTTTTAATTTTTTTTTCTCTTTTTAACGATTATTAATAAATAAATGCACAAAAAATCTTTTACCAGAGCTCTTTGGAGGTTTTGATATAAACTAATCAACCTCTTTTTCACTTTTTATTGATAAAATGTAATCGTTTTAACTATTTTCTAGTCTTGTCTCATTTTGCTGAGCTATATTGGCTATATTCCAACAAAAGCAGATTTTTATGTGAGTAATACAGAAAAACTGATAAACCTACAAATTACTTTAAAAATTAGTAGTTGCTGAATCATTACTATTATATTTTGGCTGATAACAACAACCAATCGGAAGATCTAAGATAGTTCTAGAAAAAATATTAGTGAAATATAACCACCTTCTTTTTACTTAGCCAATTAGCACATTAGTACAAAATAGTGGGCTGTTCAATTACTTCAATGAATTTATGGTACCGCCTAAATTATAGACTGCTATTATTGGATAGCTCGCTTTGTAAAATGAATCTTTGTAGGTTGGGTTTATCAGTTTATCGTATGTTTTTACACGTTTTTTTTTTATAATAAAATAACTATGTAGCTATTTAAGTTCGAATTGTTAACTGTACTTTTAGGTACAGAGTCAACTATTTTTTATTTAATTTTTACTTTATTTTTATGATCAATGCCACAAGGTATCCCAAATTAAGAAAAAGGCATTAATTTTCATTGATTAGAACTGGTGAGATTACGACTCGAAACGAAATTATAAATTGAAATTTTGAAATAGTAAATTGAGTTTCGCTTTTAAATCTTTTAGCTTTTCGAGCATTTTTAAAGAAATCGTTTTGAGTTTGTTTTTGTCAACACTAGAAGGGGAAGGGTGTACAAAATGACATACATTTTAAAAAACCGAAAATTTTACTTAAGGTAAACATTTTTTTTAAACAAAACTTGGATAGAACACAAACTGAAGTATTTGAAACACTTCAGACAAGTTTTTAACAAAGTAGAAGAAAACATAAACTTTGAGCCAAACATATAAAAATGAACAAAAAAAGTTTATTACCCCACCTGGTGGGTAAAATGACAAATTAATAAGCTGGTAAACAAACGTTTTTGTTTTCTTGTCTAGTTCGGCACACTCAGCATGTGCCCACTTTTGAAATAAACAACAGCATAGCCATAGCTCATCTTTTTAGAAAACTTGTACAGTTCTGTACAGTAAACACAAGCAGCATTATCCTCTTCTTTTTTACCGCTCTTTTTATTTTTGGAAGGAATAGTGACTTTTACCATAGAAGTCGCTAATATGTCATCAGATTAGTGACTTCTATGGTAGAAGAGGAAGGTCCAAGTTCTACATTATTATCATAAACGTTTACAGCAGGTTTAACACCATCTACTACAATATTTGTAGTTTTAGATGCTTAAAACATGTAGTCGGGGAATACTTCGGAGTTTATTGGGTAGATACCAGTTTTGGAAAATCCCTAAGCATTCTGGACATTAGCTACTTTTCCATGGGCTTCATTTATTAGACCACCAATTTAGAACTGAGTCACAACTCGACGCGATGAGCTTTGAACCAATTGGTTATTTCTTGGTCATAATAGGTTTTGAATTGGCCTAAAAATACTACATCGAAACATATAAAAATGAACTAGAAAATTTTTGAGATTTTCCAGTGAAAAACACTGGATTTCTTCTGCAAAATTCTCTTAACCAATCTTTTCCAGCGGCCTTTTTCTGGTTGTTAAAATGATGTTCAAACCCATTTTTGACAGCTAAATTATAAGCTAACTCTGATACGTCTCGTCTCCTTAGTCCAAATAACCTTGACTCTAGCATTTTTAAATGTTTAACCAACTGTCTTTCTATGAGAAAAGTAAGTTTAAACCTGTCTAGTCATTTTTCGCCTGTTTTTAAATTTTTATTTTTTTTGCAAGAAGGCATGCCTTCTTAGGGTTGCTTGAGGCATATTGAAAATATTTGACGACTTGAGCCACCCCATTTCACCCTTATTAACAGCTTCTATTGCCTTTACCAAAGAATATGTATCCCATGATTGCCTATTGGTCGTTATATTGGCATAATCTGTAAAATTTTATCATTTTACCCCACATGAACTTAATTTAAAGAAATACAATTTTTGACAAAACAATAACTTATTTACTAATTTGAAATAGGAAAACGATAAAACAATAATCCACATAATTTATCAGAAATATTTAAACTTGCCGGTATATCTCACTAAAAACATACAGCAGATTTTAATATTTCACGCCAAAAACTTTTCAATGCCAAAAATAAAATAATTGAACATGCTCCCACTCTGACAATGAAGCGGAACTGAATGCAAACTCTGGTACCCACGCCTCAATTAGATATTCGTTTCTAAGCATTCTTGAACATCGAATTCGGTATATACAAGCACTGTCAGTACTTCTTCAACTTCTTATCTTTCAAATTGTGCTTTTTATATTTCTTAATGTTTATAAACAAAGCCCCAGTGAATTTTTAAATCGTAAAAATATTTTTTGGAATCCATCTAAGATTTTATTAATCAAAGTTTTTTGGTACTAGCATCTTAATACAATTTACTCTTTACTTTTTAATTGTAAATTGTAGTACCTACAATGTAAAGGACAAGTACCGCATACCTATTATTCCCAGGAAATCATTCTGAATATCGATCTTATCATATGTCTTCATGTTATAATGCAGATGTGAACATCCAACATCCCAAATATATTTAGGAAATATTAATTAATTTTTTCCAAAGAAACATTTTGACAAACAATATAAGTACTTTTTTTATTTTTTTAGGTTCATGTCCGACCTAGAGATACTGGGACTGCTAGTCGCTTGTCTGTGTCACGATCTGGACCATCGAGGTACCAACAACGCGTTTCAAATGAAGACAGACTCACCGCTAGCAGTACTTTATTCGACTAGTACCATGGAACATCATCATTTCGATCAATGCGTGATGATTCTTAATACCGACAGCAATAATATTTTCCAAGTAGGTGGGTCAGTCGCGTAAACACTGATAGGGATTTTTCTGAGATACATATAAAATATTTGTGCATTCTTTGTCAAAAGACGGATAATGTAAGATAACTTTAAAGGTAATTTTCTTCGAATGAACTTGAATTTGAAAAAATTTCAACAGTACTGAACTAAAGAACAACAAGTGACGTAAAAAACATAAGGAAAAAATGAAGAAATTACAAGATCCACGAAATTTAGAAAATCAAAACAAACTCAACGTATTAACAGCAGTACTTGAAAGTCCTACAATAAGTTGCTACCTAAAGTCTGTTTAGAGACTACACGTCTGCGGACCAGTAACCCCCGTTGGAAATTTGAAGTAAATCGACCTAAAAATTTAACATCCTACAAAATTCTCAGCAACCATGTAGTCTAATACCAATTAACTATCATTTAAATGATTTTTACCTATGTATTTGGTAGCTTTAAACATGTATACCTAGTAACAGTACTGAAGATGGAATATTTATTCCGAAAACGTTCTGTAATGTAGTCCGAAAGAGTTCTTTTAAACAAATATACCTTTTATAAAAGATATTTTAATAAAAAAAATTCAAATGAAAAAAGCTTAGGAAGTTTCCGACTAGATAGTCGCATCCCTTGACATTGTTAATATAAAAGTTTAGTAAAAATAATTAGAAATTTAGCAAATTATCACTGACTACACGTTAATTTCTTTATAGCGTAACCATACACATTTATGTTCTAAAAAATTTTCATTTTCCAGGCATTATCTCCTGATGATTACCGTAAGGTAATGAGAATAGTAGAGACTGCGATTTTATCAACCGATTTGGCGATGTATTTTAAGAAGAAAAATAAGTTTCTAGAGCTAATCGATGACGGCGAATTCGATTGGCAAAGTGATGACAAAAAGGAGTGTAAGTATATCATATAGCAATTTACACATTACGATAGGTTACTAATAATACGTTTTAAATATTTTCTTCTTCTTCTTTCAGCTGTTGACACGTTTAATGACACGATGATGAGTTTTCTTAACTCTGTATCCATGTTTCCCACCTCTTCCGGTCACTGGTCAATTCTTTCATTTTTCTCATGCTGTTTCCTATTGTCTTGCCTCTTTCTATATTTGTTGGTACCATGTTTTTTTCTGCAGATCATTCTGCAGATGTATTCATACCAGCAATATTACAAAATTACACCCAAGTAATAATATTTTGGGCTGCAAAAATAGATCGACGTTTATCAATTTTAAAGTTGTGTGCTTTTTTACTTAGTTGGGGCTAGCAAAACCAGCTGCTCTGTAGAGTTTTTCAATTCTAGTTTATTTCGTACAACCTGATGTTTGTCTGTATGTTTTAATAAGGATGGTATTACCTTTTTGACGTGGGTTGATTTGGAGCGGACCGGATTCTACTAATTCGCTTTTTTTATGTTGTTACAGTACTGTCCGGCATGATGATGACGGCGTGTGACGTCAGCGCTATAGCGAAACCTTGGGATGTCCAGCACAGAGTTGCAAAGTTAGTAGCAGATGAATTCTTCGATCAGGGAGATTTGGAAAAGCTGCAACTTAAGGAGCAACCTATTGTAAGTATTCATTTATCCTTTTCTTCTTGCTTTTATAGTAATGTAGCAAAGTACGGTTTCATACAATAAATAAACTTTGTCCTTTATAAAATAGTTAATCCGTTAATAAATAAATAAATATTTTAATTTTAGGCGCAAATGGACCGAGAAAGGAAGGATGAACTTCCCCAAATGCAAGTCGGTTTTATCGATGTGATATGCCTTCCATTGTACAGAGTGTTATCCGAAACTTTCCCATGGATGAATCCTCTGTATCAAGGAACACTTGAAAACCGACAACATTGGCAGGATTTAGCGGAAAAGGTAGAAATGGGACTTACGTGGATCGACCATGATACCATTGATAAACCTGTCGAAGCATTTACAGGTAAGCTGTAAAGCTTTTGAGAATTTAGATATCGAGTAGTATCAAGTAATAAACGAATTATTCTTATATATATATATATATATATACCCGGTATTTAGGCGGCACACGCCCTTCCGGTAGGGATCTATGGAGGAGTATCACCGAGCCGCAAGCCCTTATCTCTTGCCGTACTGCTCCACCAAAGTCGATCAGATACCAGCATATTCTAGACTAAGCCGCAGATTCATTTAGAATTTTAAACTGCTGCGTTAGCCTTTTTGTTTTCTGTACACCGAGCTGGGAATTGAACTGACATCTCTCGCAATTGAAGCGAAGGAGAAGCCAGCCGCCCAGCCCGCTTGGCTATCCGATCGATTTATTCGAATTATTCTTTAATGTGTTAATTTGTTGTTGCAGATCCAGAAGAGACCAAAGATATAGAATTAACAGTGCAAACCTTCCATCCAGTAACGTCATCTCCTCCCATAGAAATCAAAAAGAGGCACAAGCATAGGTTTTGTTGCATATTGTGACAAAAGGTAGCAAAGAATATACAATACTTGTAGGACTCCTATTAGATCAAAAATAAAATGCTCATAGCTCAGAGTTCTTTACGGCTATTTTTGATGTACATTTTTTATGTGTTTCTTTTAACAAAAAACTCACCTAAAGGCTTGGCGTTACAATGTCAGTAATTATAACACTCAAAAGTGATATTTGACCCTAAAGCCACATGGTAGGTACTTTAAAATACAACCGCTTCAGGGTCGTATTTAAAATATCTGCCCATGGCGCATTATGATATATATTGTAGAGATCTTTTATATCGATCTTATTATTGATACAATTTTGATCTTTTGTTATGATATGATTCACATTAAAAAAACAAATTTTTAGTCTCTATAAGATCAGTCCCTTATACTTATTCTATGGCAACCTAATAGCAATTCTTCTTTATCTTGTTTTACTCTCATTTTGAACTATTAATGTAACTTGCAACATTTTCGTATCATATACAGTTCTTTATCGTTATGTGAACATGTTGAATGGGCTGGACACATAATACGAATGCCAGAAAATACCATTGCTAAAAAGCTAACCACAGGAACACCTGTAGAAAAAAGAAGTAAAGGCCGACCGCGAATTAGGTGGTTAGATGGAGTAGAAACCGACTTACGAATATTAAAAATCAGAAGATATCAACATGTTGCCAAAAACCGAACAGAATGGCGTCGAATCTTAGAGCAGGCCAAGATCCACAGAGAATTGTCGAGCCAAAGATGATGATGATGAACATGTTGAAGTGTGAGCCTGAATTATTTGAACCTTGTAGAATTATAAAAGCACCAGTTACTTTGATGTTTTGTTTTTTATAACTGATATTCTTCTCGTAATGTACTCTGTGGCAAAATTCATGAAATTTGATTCAAAATTGAACAGCCATCATCGGTTATTTTAGACTTTCGAGATTATTTAAAACTGTCATAAAAAAGTAAAATAGTTTGGGCACTCAATACACCAATCTAATTGATAGGTATCCCAACAAAATATTTCTTAAATAAAAACAACTAGGAGATCAAATATATTGCGTGGATCTAGTTTTTTGACTCAACATGGGATATTACTAATATTTAGATCCTAAGTACATTATTTTAAAAGTTACTGGCATTTAATAACGAAGCCATAAGATATAGAGACTTTAATAAACTGCAAAAATAACTTGTCTTATAAAGCATAAAATCAAAAATTACTAATTACGACTTAAACATTCCGTACATGTCATTTACTTGGGTTAGAATCTATAGAGGCATCTTAATGAAAAAACGCCATCTTTTTATGACATAAGGCAGATGTTTATGGGTCATTCTAAATAAATCAAGTTGCCTATATTGTTTCCGTAGAAGTTTATTTTATTCCTTTTTTTAATTAACTTTTTCAAAACGCTTTTCTTTAATCGATCAACAGATTTTAAAAGAAAATGAAATATTTAACAACCAATAGAAGAAAATTGTTTCATGATCTATATTTTAACCATCGAGCAATAAGACAAAAGAGGGAATGTAAAGGTAGTGGGGGTAAACATATTGATAGACAGGAAGTGCCATCTTGAGAGGCCACTTTAGACAAGGATAGACAGTCTCTTTCCTTGTTTAAGAAGTCAAATTTAGTTAGGTTATGTTATTGTTTGTCCCAACTGTCACATGAAATTTATTTATATTGAAATATTTTACCAATTGTGTCACTTTTTAGACTATTATAGTTAATATTTAATTAAAACTTTCTCGTCTGAAAAATATTTTATAGCTATTGTTAAGAAGTGTTTATTGTGAAAATTTAAATTTAGCGCCTTTGCATTTCCGGATATGTCCGCCATCAGAGGCCACTTTTTTGGTCTCCTTTTCATAACGATTAGATTCCCTCTTTTATCTTTTTGCTCGATGATTTTAACTCACATTACACATTTTTATCGACAAAAAGTAAGAGTAAAATTGGTTAACAACCAATCTTTAAACGTCCTTGAACCTCTTAAAATTGATTTTTAATGAAATGACATTGATTTGTTTACAATCAACATAATCTAAAAAATCAATTAAATACAACTTCTATTATAATTACCTTGTTATTTTGTATAAACGTTTTCCTATTACATCCATTATACGTCATCTATTAGTTGTCCAAATTGACGTTGACATTTACGCACAGCGTTGCCATATTGTCGAGATAGTACAGGATTATAAAACAAGCTGAAACTCAAAATATTCTCGAACTAATGCTGATAATTCAACAAATTAATGATAGATTTGCTGACGATTAAGTTTGTCAAATTCGAAACAATATCGTATTGTATATAGGAACGTCTGTCTTCACCATTCTGTTTGAAGGAAATTATTATCAATTAAAGTTTGATAATTTTCTATCAAAAACGTTTCCATACATTTGTTAATTTATACATTTTTTGTTGTATTTTGTTTTGTAGCTCTATGACTTTTGCTAAGAAATTCCAAATTCTAAAACATTATTTTCGTTTTATGCCTATGTGTCTGTCCAAATTTAAAAGAATTCCTTCATGTAATACATTTTATTGGTATATATATATATATATATATATATATATATATATATATATATATATATATATATATATATATTTATCATCAGTTCCCCAATAGAAAGACAATCAGTAGGAAGACCACGAAAACGATGAAACGACAACTTACTGGAGGCACATTGAAAAACAGACAGAGTCATGTCTATGTAAAAAAAGAAGAAGAATAAATTATTTTCCTAACATCTGAAAAGTTTCCCAAATTGTTATGATTCTCAAGCTCGGGAAAAAACAGAAGAGGTCTTGTCCTAAAGACCCATAAGCTTGTTATCAGCTCTTTCCAAGGTACTTGACAATCTGTGTGTGCAAAGGCTACAAACTGTAATAGACAAAAACAAGTTAATTACATATCAACATTTCGGTTCCTTAAATAACATAGGACAAGAGAGCAGGTTCGTAGAGTGGTTAATCAAATCAACAACGATCTAAATGGTAAAAATTATTACCATGTAGCCTTTTTTATATATCCCAGGCCTTCGACAAGGTATGATACGAAAGATTGCTAGTCAGACTATAGAAACTACTGTCTCATTCACACTTTCAACTATAAAAATCTGACAGCTAGATTTTTTCCAATAAAACATGGGAATAAGAGTACAAACGCAGATGTTTCTCAAGGCAGTATACTTGAACCAATCCTCTAGCTCTTATAAACTGCAGATGGACCAATAACATGACGTAATACCATTGCAATATTTGCTGATGATAGATGGCGTATTAGAGCAAATGAATTGAAGTCCACTTATGTGACCTTTATCCTTCGCAAACATACGTATCCACCTGTTACGCTTAATAAGTGCCAAGTACTACAATCTGAATACCTCGGCATACACTTGCATCAACGTTTATCATGGAGAAAACACATAATCGTTAAGCACAAGCAACTTGGTCTTAAGTTGGACAAAATGTATTAGCTCATTAACTGCAGATCAAAGCTTTCATTGGAAAACAAAATTGTATTATATAGAACGATCTTAAAACTTGTGTGGATTTGCGGAATGCAGCTGTGGTGTACAGCCAGCGACTTAAACTTATCAATTTTACAAATAAAGTACAGCAAGCTATCGTTGATATCTCTTACTACGTCTGCAATGAATTCCAATCATGCATGATATTCCTTTAGAATCCATAAATAAGACTATTCATCGGTTGAGTGTAAGATACAGTAAAAGTGTGTCAGTGCATCCAAAATTCCACAATCCTTTTCATAAAAAAGCTTATTTACCTTGGACAGATTGCAGATATCTCTAGGAGTTACATAAATTATTCTAACGATAGGGCAATGCCGTACATTTTAGATTTGAACCTCATCAATGACGTGTAACGGATCTTGTATAAAACACACCATACATGATTTTTGTAACAACAAATGCTGTAGTTAAAAATAGTCTATTAGAACTCTTCACTTCTTCAACCTATATTCTCGATAGATATTTTGTAAAAACACAATCGGTGATGTTTTAGTATGTACTTAAAAGACATTTTGTAACTTAGGATTTATAACTAAATTATATGTAAATAGAGAGAATTCCTTAATTATATTGAATCAATTTTATTACTCGACCAGAAATATTTAACCTAAGAGAAAAATTTTACAAATTTCCCTTTACGTTTTAAGAAATTAAAAAAAAAAATATGTAAACTTGTGTTTTAATAGTGTAATCCTATATTTTTATAATAGACGCTTTCAATTTATTAATATATTCGAATTTTACCCTGTCATTTTTTGCGCTAAACAATTACATGTGAAAAAATCCTGCTTCTCAGCTACAGAAGCGACAACACTGCTATTACAAAAGCAACCTAAGACTGTCCTGGCAAGTGTTAAATACAATACACCCTAGTGATTTTACCTAGTTTGACCAATTTTTTATGATTTCCTCTTATTTTATCGTATCTCTTCAATTTTTCTGACTCCTTCCAATTTTTTTACTCCCTCCAATTTTTTCTGCCTCCCTACATTTTTTTATGACCTTCCCAATTTTTTCTGACTCCGTTCAATTTTTTATGATTTTCTCCAACTTTTTTTCTAATTTCTCCCGACTCTCTAATTTTTTTAATAAACGGAAGTAAATGGACTACCTAAGCTCTGATGCCCACAATGAATGGGGAATTTTAAAATCCATTCAAAACATTTCTAATTTGTGTGTATTTGTCCCATAAGAAGTTGGAAATAATAGTTTTCTTTAATTGTTTGAAGAATATATAAGGACTTTTGGTTATGAACATCCATCCTGTGGAATTGGTATTATTTGATATCCATTGTGGCTTTAATGAGAAAAAATTAGCTTGTGTGGTATTGCCAATTCAGTCAATATATTGTAGAGTTTGTTCCTTTTGACTGAGCCTTTGAACTGAACACGTTGTGTGGTCAATGTCATGATCCCATGATTTTCTCAAGATCTGTTTGACTATAAATATTTGATC